TTGATACATCTGGCATTAGGCTGTTACAAAGTTAGAGGAAAAACTTGTTTTAGTAAATCTACATTTTTTGGGGGAGGTGGCTTTGTCATAGCAGCTTGCATGCTATGCTGAATGTTATGCCACTTTTACTGTATATTTACATAGATTAGCTTTTGTCTTATGTCTGTCCTCTCTCTCTCCCCCTCTCTCTGTGTGTGTGCATGTGTACGCATGTGTGTTCATGTTGAAGCCAGAGGACAACCTCAGATGTTTTCCTCAGATGCTGTCCTCCCTGAGACAAAGTTTTCCACTGGCCTAGGGCTTGTCACATAGGTGAGGCAGGCTGGTTAGCAATCCCTAGGGATCACCCTCATCACGTCTCTGCCTCTTCAGTGCTAGGATTACAAGCACACATTACCATGATCAATTTTTTTTAAATTAATTTCATTTATTTTTTGTTAAACATGGGTATTGGAGGCAAAATCCAGGTCTTCCTGCTTTCATAGAAACATTTTAATGACAGAGCCCTCTTCCAAGGCCAATGTTTGTTTATTTTCAAATGGTGATAGAAGTTTCCATTGAACTGAAGGGGTTGAAATCTCTCACATGTTGGTTGTTGGTCTGGTGCACTGTGTATTCAGATGTAGTGACTTCTGTGTCTTGAGATACAGTTAGAGTCCGGACATGGGTATTGTTATCAACGTTGTGTAAACATTGCTCCCCAATTATCTCTGGTTGGTTAATAAAGAAGCTAAACAGCCAATGATTGGGCAGAGGAGACAGAAAGGATGGACTTCTGCTCCAGGGAGGGGTCCCAGGGAGGGTGCAGGAGGCAGAGCGAGAAGAGGAGAGAAGAAAGGAGAAGAAAGGAGAAGAAAAGAGGCAGAGAAAGGACATGTCCATGAGGGCTGACCTGATGGAGCAGAAACAGCCCATGCAGGACCAATATGGCAAATAATTTGGGGCTTGTGGCTGGGAAATAGCCAGACTAGCATAGGGGGTTAGAATAGATCAATATCTGCCTAGTGATACAGCCTAAAGCTTATTAATAAATCCAATAGGTCTCTGTCTTGTTATTTGGGAGCTATAACAGTTGAATGGAAAAGGGACCCCCAAATTATAACCCAACTTTTCATTCATATTCTTAAAATTCATTTGTTTCAACACCTGCATGGGTCAATAGTCTTCCACACCAAATTTGTCTACTTCATCCTCTGCTTTCTGTTCCCAAAGTGCTTGAACTTTCATTTTATAAAACCCTGTTATCAGAAGAGATAGTTATAATGGCATAATCATGGTGTGTGTCATGGTCTACAGCCTGGACACAGGAGTCAATCTAATATTTATAATACGGTCGCCACCAAGACTGGGCAGCCAGTTCTACTGGAGGGAAGCACAAGACACTCTTCAGAAACTGGCATTAACGGGGTAGGAGGACAAACCTGAACAGTGCCCACATACCTCTTAACTACAAACAGATATCGTAAGGAGAGCCAGACTTCAACAATTGCCAGTCCATTTTGCCGGGGTCATTGGTGAAGGGCAGGAGAGGCGGGAGTGGGTATGTTTATGTGAGGTGAAGAGCTTCCCATCAGGATGGCGCAGAAGACCATGTTCCTAACCAGAGCCGGGTGGGGCCAGCACAGCATGTGTTAACTGAGTTACTTCTGATTTTTCTTATCAGGTAGTTAGACACACATTGCCTTGGGATGATAGTTAATTTGATACAGTACCGGGTGAGTGCCCTCTATCATAACAATCTCTTTCCCACTCATGCTAGAATACAGCAGAAAGCAGTTTTTCTAACAAAATATGCACTTGGCATCAGTCACTTAGTTGTAACAATTTAGGATGCTCCATTTCCCCTGTAAAATTGATTTTCACTTCACAGTCACACCAAGGCCCTCCACCTTTTTGAATCTGCCTCAACCTTGAGAGAGAGAGTTCATGTAATAGGAAGAACGAGAGCTGGTCAGAGAATGTCCAACATACCAGCAGCAGCTGCACTTCTGGAAGAGTGTTTAAAAGGGATGACCGGAAGTACATCAGTCTCAAATCTAGGTTTTGAAGTCTAATTTAATTTTATCTGTCTGTATGGGTGTGTTGCCTGTATGCATCTTTGTGTCCCACTTGTGTGCCTGGTACCCGAGCAGGCCAGAAGATGTCATCAGATCCCTTGGAGCTAGATTTTCAGATGGTTTGAGTCACCATATGGGTGCTAGGAATGAAACTGGATTCTCTAGACAAATAACCAGTGCTGTTGACCACTGAACCATCTCTCTAGTCCCAAATGTTAATATTTAAAATGTGGAGCTTCTCAATGAACAGATGTAAATGGTATCAAGTACAATGAAAAAAGCCTTACACACGAACCTCATTTGCGTTATCGGTTATATGCAAAGTGTCCTGGGCATTATACCATCTGGATTCTGTTTCTAGAACATTCCTTGGCCTTTTAACAACTCTTCTTTGAATTTTCGTTTTCTCTGATAAGAAAATGAGCCCTAAACGTATACACACAGGTGTGCACGCATATAATATATATCTGTATATATGGCTGCTTGGGAGATGCCCAATTCCATGCGCTCTGAGCTACAAAACACAGGACCTGATCTGTGGACACACAGAGCATTGGTTGAAATTCTGAGTTATGCAATCCTCATCAAACATGGTCAGTGTCTCTTTGGCCACCAATTGGCACAAGTTCGCCACTGTCTATGGAAGCCGTAGGTGGTTGACAGGGCAGCCCACATGATCTAAACTACAGAAAGTTAGACAGTATAGTGTTAGGTCTCTGATTTGTTCATGGTCCTTTCACTGGTCTGCCTGCATGGCCTTCCCTCACCCAGGGGCCAGCACAGCAATGTTGACACCGGTCTGCTGCTTCTTGGTTCTATGATAAAATGTTCAGCACGTGGGGTGATGAGAGGGGAGTCACTTTCATAACGGCGGTACTCGGTGGGCCGGTCTGGGTCTAGGATGTCTCCCAGAGGCTCATGTCCTGTAAACTTGGACCCTAAGACAGTTTCCAGAGGTGGGGGTCTCTGTGATGATTGTAGTTCTACTAGTGAGTTTATAGATGAATGGGCCAGTCAGAGACAGGGCCAAGGTAAAAGGAGGTCATAGAGAGCACACCTTCTAGAGGGTCCCTTTTCTTTCTTTCCTCCCCTGCTTCCTGGCGACTCTGCGGTGAGCAGCTATGCTCTGCTGTCCGCTCTCCTCCACAATCCTCTGTATCCACACAAGTCTCAGCAACGCGGGATCTGTTGGGTGTCTGAAACCGTGAGCCAAATTAAATGTTCCTTCCCAAAGTTGATTTATCTCAAGTATTTTGTCAAAGCAATGGAGAAATGTCCAGGAGGTCACAATTTGCTGGTTTCCATGTAAGGTTTTTAGCCAATTTATTCTCACTGGAAAAGTTGAGTAAAAATGTTTCTGGAGGGCCAGCAGTCTAAATGGTTTCACAGATAATCTCGCTGACACTGAGGCCTGGGTTCCAGAAGAGCATTAACAAAGCAGGGCATGAGGAACACCCTGATGATGATTAATTAGCTAAGGATGAACTGGGAGAGATGAATGGTGCTACAGACCGTAATTGCTTCTAGTTTGGGGCAAAGCTTGCAAGTTTAAATTCCCTCCTTTCTGGTAAAGTTGTTTGTGAATATAAACAGGCCTTGAATGTGCCGTTTCCCATGAGGGTCTGCTGTATGTCTCATTTGCTAAGGTGGTCTGAGTGAATCCTGGATGAGGGCATCTTAAAGTATCAATTCTTTGAGAACTCCATAGTGTCTTCTGGTTATACTCAACCCCTCCTCCTCTCAAATTCAGCCCTTCCATCTCATCTCCCCCAACCTCGTGTCCCTTTTTCTTTCTCACTTTTTAATTGATGTTTTTACTTCTTCGGTTTACATCCCAATCTCAATCCCTTCTCTCCTCTCCTCCCAGTCTTGCACTCTGATCTTCTTCTCCCTTCCCCCCATCCCCTTCTCCCTCTCATAACAACCCATTCTGGCACATCAAGCTGAATCAGGACTAAGCGCATCCTCTTCCACTGAGGCCACCCAAAGCAGCCTAGCCTACTGAGTTCATACTCACGGGTATTAGGTGGCCGTTCACTGAAACCGCATTAGGCTGGAGCAGTCAGCAGAGCCCTTCTGCTAGGACACCAGTCCTTGCCAGCACAAGGGAACAAGTGTATCCCAGTGGCCCCGGGCAGTAAAGCATCATGGGGATCCCTCGACAAACATTTTCATGGACACAAGGAGCCCACAAAAGAGAGGGCATATGGCAGGAGGGGACAGCTTGTGGATGGCTCCCAGCTTCAAAGAAAAAAAAAATGTGTGAAGATTTATGTTGACTGTAGATTTTCTTTTGCAAACAGCTGCCTCCCTTTCCCTGCCCAGCTGCTATCTGAGGTAGTGGCTACCCCTTGCCACCACAAGCCCACCACTCCAGTTCTAAACAGCTCAAAACCCTCATTTTGAAACAGGTCCTGAAGTAAATCCCCAGTGGGAGCCAGATTCCAGACTGGGAGAGCCACACGCTCTGAGCTGGGGACTGAGGATGTCTTCAGGAACTAGACAGGACCAAGACCAAGTGAGGCATAGCGCCCCGCTGTGCTGAAGAAGAGAGCAGCAGCTCTCACGCTTTCGCAGCCACTTTACATTGGAAAAGATTGATTTGGCCTTCTGGTGTGTTGTTTCCATAGAAGCAGGGCTTAACCTTTTAAGTGAAGATTATAAGGCTACCTAATTCATTTAAAATTAGGCTTCGAGGATCTCAGTGCTTAAGGCCCAAGTGTTTCTGTGGGACTTGCTGTAGCCATTGATCCAATGGGCAGACCGGCACCTACCGGCTCTCACTCTGCAGAAATCTGTTTGCTTTATTTGCAAACATAATTTCCTACAGAGGCATAACTCCTGAGAAAACCTGTCAGAATATTCATAAATAGCTTTTAATTAATGAACAGCATTGACTTCATAAACACAGGAAGACTGGGTTGCAAGCAAGACACGCGTGCATTCAATTAAAGTAATTTATTGTATTTTTCCAGAGTGGACATAAAGGGCATCTTGGGAGTTGATATCACAACACAGTGTTACACACCATTTCACAACTAGCTTTGCATTGAATTCTTTTTAAAAGAACACGTAATTTTAAAAAATCTGAATATTTACATATTAATAAAACATATGTACAGATTGAGACATATCATCCATAGATATGGACTTTTTTTTTTGCTAAGAAAGCTTATAAAAAAGGGTTTCTGAACAAAGCTGAACAGTAGTCACAGTAAGTTAACACAAATACAATGTAAACTTACAAAATGATTTTACTGTTACAGTTTGATCTGCCTTTCCAATTCGTGAATCCATTGCACTTATCTGTGAGTTGAAAGATCTGTACCCTCCTCAAGTACTGAAATCTCCAAGGTGTCACTACGGCTTGGAAGGAAGTGTTTTTTAGAAGGCTTAGAGTGCACACTGAGCAGGCCTATAGTTTTAAGTATACGTTCTTCCTGCGCTAAAACCAAATTCATCACCATTTAACAGAGTGAAGCAGACTAACGCAGCTTTTCCATTTCCTTGGGGAGTATTCTATTCTGGGAGGCAGAAGACAGTTTTTGTCTGGATCTGCTGCAGAATTAAACCAAAGTCCCGGTTTGTCTGCAGCTCATCAGGCCACTCAGTAAAACAAAGGGATGAGGACCGGCTGGAAACGCAAACCAGTACCTGAAAGGTGTACTTTCCAAGCTGTCCTTGTAGCTTCCAAAGGAAGAGAGCTAAAAGGTTCACATGTATGAGAGGTTGCTGGCTAGTTGCTAGACTGACTCTACAGGCAACACCCAAAAGTACATTTGTCACATTCCAGGGATATCACATATCATCCTCATCGGCTAGCTGGTCTCCGTGGAATACTGCTCTGGTCCTCCTGTCTTCAGCGTTACGCGTTCAGTGTGATATGACGCAGTACTGGACAGGGTCATGCGACAGCCAGGTTCTATGGCCACCTGGCCCTAGGCAACCTACTTTTCAGTTCTCTCACCGCTGAGAACTGCGGTGGGAGTCCTGCACAGCGAGGGACTTAGTTCTTGAAGCACTGACTGTTGGTTTGTTTTAACCTGTGGCTGGAACACACACTAGGAAAAGGCTAAGCTTTGTCATGGCCGTTTTCATCCCTGGGGTTTGGTCAGGCATCAAATACGATCTACAGTTACATTTCTTTCACGGCAATTTTTGGCCTTTGTGTCGAGTGCCTAAGATTCAAGGCAATTTCCTTTACATGATGAATAAGGGGTAAATGCAAGGTTTCCTAAGTAAGTGGCATTTTCGATGCACTATTTCATTAGCTAAACAAATGTGGAGGTAAATATTTCTGTAAAGCACATATCCACCCAGGAACATTTTCTTTAAAATAAACCCTGATTTTTTTTCACATTTAGTTTGACATAAAGTAGAAGGCAAGTGCATGAGGGAACAAATGAACTACAGAATGAACATGAACACAGGGTCAAAGCCACGGTTTGAAAAAACTGCTCAGTTAAACCACTTTTAAAGGCTTGGTGGCTCCCAAGCAGTTTTCTTTTTCCTAAGAAACTGTACTTAGTTTGTACTCCTTCGGTTCTGTTTTGGGTTACTACTTCACTGGCCAGGTCAGAGATCTCCTGTCTCCCAGAACCGTTTCCTCCTCTCAGCTGAGGAGGGGCTAGTTAGCGCTGCTTCGTAACCTCTGTCAGCCAGTCCTGGAAGAGAAGCTCTCCTCTGCATGCAGCTAAGCAATTTACAATAAAATAAATATGTTTAGAAAGACTGTGTATTCACATTGAGACTATGAATGGATAAAACAGGGAGGGAGTGGCTTCTCTCTGACGGGCCACACACGCTGGAGTTTTAAAGGGCAACACCTCTAAGCTTCATTTCTTTTAAAAATATATTATGCCAAATTAGGGTTGTGATACCACACGTTACAAAGAGATTATTCGGACAGGACAAGCCACCACGGAACACCCACACTGTAGGAACCCCAGCCGCTATGTGGACCTTTGAGGAAATGGAAGAGTACTCTAGGATGCAAGTCTAGGCAACGGAGCCTGCTTCTGGGTCCTCCGGGGTCTCTCTCTTGGTGACAAATATATTACCTACAACAGAGACAAAACAATAAGGGAGGCTGTTTCTCTACAGCAGAGCTGGACAGTTTGTCACATGGCTGAAGGGTTGGAGGGTGGGGACACTCGTGCATTGTCTGGGTACGTCACTAAGCATCAGCTTCAACTGTTCTAAATGAGTAATTTCAAGAATTAAGAATTTCTGAGGATCTTGTTTTAAAAAAACAAGAAAGCCCATGAATATATATTACCATTGGTGATGTACAGCAATAGAAAACAGCTAAGTATGGCTTACCCGGGAACGCTACAGCATGGCTTACCCGGGAACGC